CGATAGTAGAAAGCACCTTCCTCTTTGTAACTGGTAAACTCAACTCTGGTAACTTCACAATGTACTGAAATTTATCCGAATCTCTATGCCATCGGATCCCTAAAACCTTGATTATAGAGTTTGATTTTACCGTTACTGATTGAGCGTCATCTTGATTGTTTTGGCCAATAAATTGCAGAAAACTGTTACTATTACTGTTCCACTTTTGAAGCTGGAAACCACCTGAATTTAGTAATTGATTCAATTGTTTATAAATTTCTTCAGCTTTGTCTTCAGTTTCACAGCCCGTCATAAGGTCATCAACATAAAAGTCTCGCTTTGTTATTTCTGCTGCAATAGGAAAATTATGTTGTTCTTCATCTGCTAATCGTTGCAGTGATTTCACAGCCAAGTACGGAGCACAGGCTGTACCGAATGTTAAGGTAAGTAATTCGTAATGACCGATAGGTTCATCTGGATTTGATCGCCAAACTATTCTTTGGTATCGCGTATCTTCAGCACGTACACGAACCTGTCTGTACATTTTGATAATGTCCGCCACAATGCATATCTTATGCTTTCGCCATCTCATTAAAATGTGCCTTAAATCCTGTTGAAGTTTGGGTCCAACAAGAAGATTGTCATTAAGAGATACGCCATTGACACCTTTACATGACGCATCAAAAACAACGCGTAGCTTTGTTGTTTCCTTGTCCTCCCTCACTACTGCATGATGGGGGAAATAAACAGCCTTACAGTTATCGGAATCATCACTAACGCGTACCATATGATTTAAATCTAAATATTCCAGAATGACTTTATTGTATTCTTCTTTAAATGCAGGATTCTTCTGAAATTTTCTTTCAAGGAAATGAAATCTTTTCTGTGCAATATCCTTTAATTTTCCATTTTCACATTCTGGTTTCTCTCTGTTTAATGGTAATTTCACTACGAACCTCCCTTCATCGTTTCTACGTGTAGTTAACTCATAAATTTCTTCGCATTTTTCTTCTGTCTTGGTTAACTTCTTTTTAATTGTATTTGGCTCATTTTCCAATTCCCAAAATTGTTTCAATAAAGTATCTTCCCTTATCTGTATATGTAAACTTATTAATTTCTCATTTACCGAAGTTGATTGTGACACTCTTCCTGAAATAACCCACCCAAAAATAGTGTTTTGTGCTAACATATGTCCTTGTGGATGTTTCAACATGTCACTCAATAAAATTTCACTATAAACTTCAGCTCCAAGAAGAACGTCTATTCTACCAGGTGATGTATACCCTGCATCAGCTAGTGATAATTTCTCGATGTCTAGCCAATCAGGAATGTTTACATTAGTACATGGAATACGTGAAGTAAGTGATTTTAATACATAAGCGGTAATCTGAATTGAATTGTTTGAATTTCTCTGTGATTCTATACGAAAAGAGACCATATGTTTAATTCTTAATTGACCATCTCCCAGACCTGACACACAACCATTTACTGGAGTACGTTTAAGCCCTAGCAATTGAACCGTCTCTTCGGTCACAAACGACGCTTGTGATCCTTGATCAATTAACACCCTAAGTAAATTCGATTGACCGTTTCGCGAATAAGCTCTAACAACTGCCGTTGCCAATAACACTCTGTACGTTCCTATCTCATTCTCTTTAGCAAAATTGGCAACAACTCTCACTTCACTATCAGGAGTTGAATTTGTGTTCTCTAATGTGGGTCGCCCTGAATCAGTGTTTGTATTCTCTAAATTATTTATAGGCCCTTGATTATTTTCTTTTTCGAGGTGCAGCAGTGAGTGATGTCTCCTTCCACATCTACGGCAGCATGTTGACTGACGACATTTTCTTACAGTATGAGTGGGCGCGAGACAATTAAAACATAATCCCTTTGATTGAGCAAGATCTTGTCTTTCTCGTGGTAGTAAATGTCCAAACGACTTGCATTGAAAAATTAGGTGATCACCTGCACACATAACGCATGATTGCTTCGTAGTTAATTTTTTATCTTGAACAGCTGCAAATGACTTAAATTTCTCTATTTGTTTAATATTCTGCTGTGGCGCTCTCGTGGCGTGTTTATTGGTATCTATAATTTCTAAAGTTCTAAACCTCGACTCAAGAAATTCCATTAAATCCTTCCAGGTTGGTAATGTGTCAGATGATATTACACTGACCCTTGTCTCCCATTGACGAAGTGATTCGTGATCCAGTCTAGAAGTCACCAAATAAACCACCATGGCGTCCCAAGAACTAGTAGCAATGCCCAAATTATTTAATGAAATTAGACATGCCGATGTTGTGTCAAGTAAACTTTTAATAGCAGGTGCAGACTCCACGTTGATGTGTTTTTGTGAAAATAAGGCCTTTAATATTGCATTACAATTGTATCTTTTATTATTATAACGTTTAGTAAGTGTTGTCCATGCGATTTCGTAGTTGAGTTCTGTAGTAGGTAAATTTCGAAGTAAGCCTTCTGCTTCGCCCGACAGACTCCCTTTTAAATAATGTAACTTTTGGACTGATGATAAACTCTTGTTATTGTGTACGACTGATGAGAACATATCAAAGAAGCTTTGCCAATCGTTATATTTTCCGCTGAACGTGGGTAATTGTATGCACGGTAATTTTACGTCACTGGTAGTAGGCGCTACTGGCATAGAATGTGCAACAACAGGGTTTTTTGTTTGAAGAACCTCTTGTAAGGAACTTTTATAATTAATGTAATTTTCTTCAAATTTGTCATAGATATCATTCTTAAAGTACCCAATGACGTTGCGCTTCTCAGTTGTAATTACAGTGACAATTTCTTGATGAGTATCTTGAAAATCTTTCCAAAGCTTTTCCAATGTATCTAGTCTCGTATTCAAGTAACTGTTGGTTATTCTATCCTTTGGACTTTTCTTATAATTTAATTCTGATTTGCATAACCTTTGATATCTATCCTCTTGTATATTCAGTAAACCCTCCATTGTTAATAATGTATTCAAATTTTATCTTTAAATTAATCCAAACAATTAATGTTGTACACTAATAGAATATCTGTGCATTAATTTATCTCATTAAATTGTCCAACGTGTATCACAATTATATTTGCCTAAGTTAATATAAAGGCAAAAATATTTCAAAGTCAATGTTCCGTGTATAAGTAGTCCACAAGATACTGTCAATGATACAAGAAAAATATTCTAAGTTGTTGTAACCACCAGAACTAAGTACTTAAAATGTTCTAACACTTTGAAATTTTTCTATGTTGATGTAAGCCGCCAGAAACTAAGTCTTTAAACTATTTAAACACTTTAAATATTTTCGACATGGAGTCCTCGTCTGATCACTTTTTCACTGAATTTTTCTAAGTCTATGAATTTACTTTAAAATTTTACAAGTCCAAATTTACTACTAAATAATTCAAAGTTAATATTTCACTTTATTTTTACTAAGTTATTTTACTCACAGTTTTAAGGTCCAATTTCACAATCCATAGCACTCACCACCGCCACTTACGACTTTTCAACTTTTCCCGGGTTTCGGCACCAATTTTGTTTAACACAATTTACTATAGAGGGCACTACAATAAAACACACAACTATTTACACTGCGTATATTCGTCACCGCCGTGACCAAAAAAAGCGACCTAAAAAAAATTAATACAATTCCAGTACATGGGTTGGGACAAAAGTCAAACCTTAGCGCGTTTCAATTTTTCCACTAGCGCCATCTAGTATCATAGATGAGAAACAAACTTAGTAATTTAAACAGTTCGTCTTAATTTATTCGTTCAATTATGTACTGATAGGATCAAATTAATACATTTACATTCTGCATCATCCCTTATTTTATCCCCATGGGGGTTGAATTTATAAAAATCCTATTTAAGCGAACGTCTTGATCATAGTAGCTCCAATCTTTAATTTCAGTTGAATCAGTAGAAAATCTAAGAAGATTTATACAAACTTTCATCCCCTATTTAATCTCCTTAGGGGTAAAATTAATCAAAATCCTTTCTTAGCGGATGCCTACGTCATAACATCTACCTGCATGCCAAATTTCAGCCCGATCCGTCCAGTGGTTTGGGCTGTGCGTTGATAGATCACTATGTCGGTCACCCTTGAGTTATATATATAGATGACAGACTCGCGGCAATATTTTTACATACAAAAAACATCAACGCGTGTACCGTTTATGTTATATATAAAAATCTCGTGTCACAATGTTTGTTACCATACCCTTCCAACACGGCTTGACCAATTTTTATGAACTTATATATGCATATTCAGTAGGTCTGAGAATTGGCTGTTATCTATTATTCATACTCCTAAATGATAAGAGTAAAATAAAAATAAAAATAAATGTTAAGGGTGTTCACCCTTAACATTTATTTTTATTTTTGCACATTTTCTTTTATAATGTGTAATTAAAAAAATCGAGTATATACAACACTAAATTTCCACCCTTCTATCACCAACCCCTATTTTTTAATAGCGATTTTAATTTTAATAGTTGTTCATACACGGAATTATCATTTAATGTTAGACATAGTAAATAAACTGACTTTAAAAAAAAATCAATTAAGGTTCTTGTCAGTTCTTCTCAATTGAATCTGTAGGTATACTGATCTGGATGGTAGAGAAAAAAGTGTAATATAGCTTTAAAAAATATATATCAATTGTGTTTCTTGCCAGTTCTTCTCAATTGAATCTTTATACTGAACTGGTTGGTAGGGAAAAAAATATAACATAAAAAAAATTACGTCTAAAAAGTCATACATGAATAAATGATTTTTGCATTTGAATCTGCGACCATTGAACGGCGAGGCAGACTGTTATATCACTATACCACAAAAGTATATTTGAAATAATTGCGATTACATAGGTCATGACCTAGTCACGAGTAACCGAGTACTTCCAAGATTTATGCGTGTTGGGATTCGACCTTGTGACTCTAGTATGGCGAATTCAAGTACGACAACAGCTGTGATATAGGCTGATGAGAATTGTAATGAGATGAAGATGTCTCACTGACCTTCGCCTCCAGTGTTTCAAGGTTGACGACCCCTCCTCCGCCGGTCTCCAAAGTTTGCTGCAACAAACAGTTTTACATTAATGTTTATTTCTCATGAATATATGTAATAAATATATTACACATATAATAATAACAAACTGATTTTACCTAAATGTCGTTTGGCTAAAGTTAGTAATTCGTTTTATGGCAATTGCGTAAGGTTTTACAATAAAATACCAGAGTCTGTTATAAATCTGCCAGAAAAAAAGATTCAAATAAAACACTTCCTTTGCAAAAAAGCTTACTATAAAATTGAAGAATTCGTTAACGATAATAATGTTTTTGTAGAAAAATTTTAAATACATAGCACTGACAATATTATCTGATTACACTAATAATGAGTGCGTAGCGATTTCTATGTTCATTATGGCATGCCTCTTACTTGTTATACTGTATTATTTATATAAAAAAACATCTAATAAAAAGAGCAACACACAAGTTTCTTGCGCATTCTTCTTGTGATGAATCTGCATTCCGAATGAGTGGTAGAATCAAAATATGACTATTCAAAAGTGCTTGTAATGAGTTTATTTGAATAAAGATTATTTCTCTATTTCTCTTCTCTAAATTATTATTTTTATTTTAAACAATAAATATATGTTTTAGTATGTATAAGTAAAATTTATAAATTTATAATCGTGTAATATTATTTAAAAATTACAATAATAATAATAATATATCAATTCACACAGCCATCTTGTCCCAGGCTAAGCAGTGCTTGTGTTATGGGTATAAATACTGAGATACATTTTTTTTTGCAAATACATATACACATAGAAAACATACATCACAGAAGACCGAAGAGCTGGCAGCTACCTTGGACAAAGAATTAGTCTAGCTATTCAAAGAGGGAACGCTGCCAGTATCTTCGGAACGTTGCCTAAAGATATTTTAGCCATCATATTATATTTTTTTTAAGCTTTTTAATTTTAGGTTCTTAGTTAAACATACATGACTGATGACCCCATTGCTAACAATATGGCACATTGTTCATCAGGTTGACCTCCACGCGGTCCCCCCTAGAAACGATCGTGATTAATTCTTAGGTAATTCGTCACGATGGGCTAACTGACCTAACATCATGTTCTGGTGCCCCGCCGAATACTGTTAACGCAGACGACTGTACTAAAATCATTATCAGCCATAAAAAAAACATGTGTATACATGTATGGTGTGAGGAAACGAACCCGCGACTATCAGAAGTAAAGCTGTGTGCTAAACCGTCTAACTGTCAACAATATGTATATGTGTATTATTACAACAATTCAAACATCATAAGATCGGATTTCGTAGACACCAAACTTCATGTAGCTTAGAACTAGATGGCGTTATGTGCATTGTCCAGTGGTATTACTAAAAATATCTTAATAAGTATACCTTATAATGTAACTTAAAGATTAACGAGCGTGGAAGTACCTAATTAGGAAGCAGTTTAGTACTTTTATGTGACGTGAAGCACGAACTTCCGCCATTTACAATATTGTTGATTTGAAAGTTTGTACAGAACCTGCAGGTCTACACACCTACAGAATCGGATAAGCTAAATATTTTACATACGTGTTTGTTTTATGATATACGACACTATAAAAAAGTCATTAATTGTTTTATAAAAAGGCAGTTGTATGTAAGCACATGAAACCTCTTTTTGTATAAAAGCCATTTAATTGTAATTAAAAATAAAAATAAAAACTTCTTTTCTTTCTGTCAACACGGTCTATCATTTATTATTAATTTTATTGATTTTAAATGCATTATAAATAGATCACAGTGAGAAACACTAACAGCAGTTAGTCTTTATTTTAGTGAAAAATAAAAAAAACTTTTTATAGAACAACCCTAAAATTATTAATTTTACGTTAATGCGTATTAATTAAACATCCACACATTATTTCTGAATAACCTATAAAAATCGGTAATTAATATTAATTTCCGATAGTGCCACAACCCTATTTAAGACCTGGCAACATCGGAAACGTCAAATTTGTCTCCTGGATTAAAAAACAGACTATAGTACAATTATTACACCCGTATACTCTCTACTACTGAGGTTCTGCTACTTATTTTGTCTCCTATACAATGATAGTATAGGAGACAAATTAAGTAGCGGTACCTCATTAATTACATCATGCATAACACTACAGTGGTGAGGTGACCATCCGGTTACAAAGTCTAACTTGCATGCCGTAGAAACCTATATCTTTTTCTCAATCATTATTATAAAGTGCATAACTGTGCGTTTACGACGCAACACGCTCGAGGTTAATACGCTAAACTTGTAGGTACTTATGATCCGGTCGAAATTTATCATTATTACCGTATCAGAATGACGTTAGAATGATTTCATTCTTAGTTAAATAATAACCTCGGTGACTTTACGACCGATGGTCGCGGGTTCGATTCCTCGCACGGCACAAATATTTGTATTCATGAGTATCATTGTTGGTATCGGTCTGGGTGTTTTCTATATATAATATGTATGTATTTACAAAAAAAAATGTATCAGTTGTCTAGTACCCATAACACAAGCTTTAGCTAGCTTAACTTGGGTCTTGATGGCGCTGTGTGAATTGTCCTGAGATTATTATTATTTCTTAATCTTCAAAAAAATGTCATCTCCCCTCTTAAGGAGAGGAGATGGCAGCTTACCCCCGGCAGAAGCACAGTCGGCCGGAGTTCAGGGCCCCAGGGAGAGAAACCGGCGTACAATGCGGGCAGAATCTAAGAGCACCGCTTTCTGCATCTTTCCCGGGAGTGAGCCGCCTCGGAATCCCAACCGTCTGAGATGTTGCTCCAGACTGGTTGGGATAAGACCGTTCACCGATATAACGATTGGAATGATTTCGGTGGACATCACCCCCCACATTTCGGTCACCTCGTAGCCAGGTCGATATTTTCTCTTTTTTCTCAGTTTCGGCTTTCACGAGGTTCTCTCGTCATGCGGTATGGTGATGTCCACCAAAAACACCCTCGAGAATGCCCGATCCATCACCACGATATCATTTGTTCGCAAGAACGGTCCTGTCCGTGATGATGGATCGGTCCCATACGCTGTCGCTTTCGATTATTATCATATGTCTCGTAGGAGCGCATGTATATTCTCAACATAGTTTTATTCTGTGAATATCATAGTTCTTTAGTAACTTTGTGTACATGTTTCTGTTTCAAAAATAACTAAATTAATAAAAATTGATTTCATTCATTTACTTAACTTTAATGCACATTATATACAAGCAAGACAAGCCGATTTAACACCACGCGGCATTTTCTACCAGTCAACCATAGGTGGTACAGAGAATAATTGTTGGCCGTGCAAATATAATAAATGATAAACAAAATGCAAGAAAATTTAAAACAGAACTTATTGTTTAACTATCTCCATATTAATATTGTAAATGCGAAAATCTTATCCCTAATCGGATAAAGGCATCTGAATTACAATTGTTAAGTAATTTCGTAAGGACACGTTTTACAATTTCTTTACTAAATGTTGCCCACTGTCTTTTCTTTCTTTCTTTCTTTCTTTTTCTAAAAACAAAGTGAAAGAATTTACTGTGATATTAAAAAAACTGTTACTCATAGTCACATAAATATATATTATTCTTATATATATAATTAAAAAATAAACATTTCTACGGTAATTAAACGAAATTCCTACAATAATTGGGTTGAAGCTGAGACTATATATAATAATAATAATAATAATAATCTCAGTACAATTCACACAGCGCCATCTAGACCCAAGTTAAGCTAGCTAAAGCTTGTGTTATGGGTCCTAGACAACTGATACAAATACATAGATAATTTTTTTTTTCGTAAATACATATATATTATATATAGAAAACACCCAGACCGATACAAACAATCATATTCATGTATACAAATGTTTGTGCCGTGAGAGGAATCGAACCCGCGACCATCGGTCGTAAAGCGGTATGCAAGACCGCTAGACCACCGAGGTCGTCTGTATTTTAATCCCGGAGACTAAATTGACAGGTGTAAAATTGTCAAATAATGTTACCATCTATAGGGGAAAGTATTGTACCTTCGATACCGATTTGTTACATTGGAAATTTTTATTTTAACATATTTATAGTCAGTTTTAAACCTTTATAACGTTTCCACAACAGATTTTTTAAATTTACGTATATAGAATATGTACGTAGTATGTAGTAAAAATGTAACTTAAGATTTAATGATTCTACCGTTAGTTTAAACCGCATCAGACACAGTACGGCCGTAAACTCGAATTGATACCTTGGTACGGGCGCGGTTAATGAGGTCATTTCGGGTTTATAACCATTTACCACCATAAGTACGGTGTTATATTTGAATCTCATATAACGGTCATATACACAGATTTCGCAGGGTCATGAGCCGATCAGGATCACATATTATCAAATTATGTCTTATTACAATTAACATAGAATTGGAAATTGCACTTATAATTACCAAAATTTTGCATTACGTATAATATTTCAGATCTAATTACATATTCGATATTTTTTTGAATTTTATTTTCGTATGTAATCTACGACATACTTACGGTCTCGGTGGTCTTGCGGTTGAGCACGCCCCTAGATTTCCAATGGTCGTGGGTTCGATTCAAAATTTTGTATATCTGAGTATGATTGATACATTGATTGATGATATGATTGTAACCATTTACCATCAGATGGGCCGTATGCTTGATTGCCACCATCGTAGTATAAAAAAAATGTACAACAACAAATAAAAAGTAAAAAATAAATACAACCCTAAATGAGGTTGAGGTGAAAATCACCCTTCTATCACCAACCACCATTCTTAAATAGCGATTTTAATTTATATGGCAAAACGTTTCCGGGGTCAGCTAGTATTAGTATAACGAATACATTTAGGCGCATTATAAAAACAAATAAAAAGAATGTTCGCTAAGAGATATTGGTATGTCAAAACTAACGTTTGTTTCGTTTGTTTATCAGACAGATCAGAAAGTTATTATTATTTTGTCCATATTTGGATGGGAGGCATTTATCTGC